TTTTTATGTAAGGGTTCATACAACCTTAATGCGATGGTTTCACAGTGAATTACGGTGAAAATCATTTTCCATGTAGTCGACGAAATAATGTCTGTCATTGGCGTCGGGTTTCGAGTCGAACCGTGGTAAGTAGGGTCTAATCGGATGATTTGAATTGCAGTTTCAACTAGTCGAGTCCCTTGACAGTTCACTGTTTACCTTTCTTCCTGTTTGCTCGAGGATTCTCCGCTCGGTTACGCGTCGGTATTGTCCAAACAAGGGGTGAATGAATGCGTAACGACGAGAAGAAAGGTAATTCATCGGATAGAGTCACGGCACAATCGTCCCGCAGCTCGGAATAAAATAGAAGTCGACTGATCGTCGCCTTTAGCGAACCCGCGTCAAACTTGCCAACGTCAAACCTGACACACTCGGTATCAATCACAACTAAACATACATTTTCCATACGTATTATACATTTTGTACACATGTTATACATAAATAAAGAACGTTACTGCAATACGTAATATACACCCACACACGCACGAATGTAATATATCATAAATACGAAACTGAGCGTTGAATGAGCAGTAAACATTTAGAGTGCATTCATCTAAATGAAATCTTAATTAATTGAGCTGCATTTCATTAGAATTACGAACAGGGGGTCTCCTATTAAATTAACGAAAAACAATGGACCAGTGCGATTTCTATTATACGAACTGGCTTATAGTTATTTCAACTGTTCACGTTTCAATGCTCCATTGCGACGGCGACTTAGTTTTATAACAGGCGTGACGCCGAGTTCTCAGATCGTGTAATTGCAACCGGCAAATGTATATTTCGCTTGCTTCGGAAACGGATTGACCGGAAGGAATGAGAGCCTTCTTCTCGGAAAGGCTGCACGCGTGCCACGTACGCGTGTGTATCGAATTCGATGCTAATTTGCATGCGAGGACCTTTGTTTACCCGGGTGTAAGCCTGAACAGTTGCGAGCGGCTGGCAGCGTATTTGCGCGAGGATTTCATCGAGGCGGTATAGGATGGAACGGCTGAGTCGGGCACTCCGCCTCTCCTTCGAGGAAGGGTAGCGAGACGAGGGATCGTAGGAGGGATTCGTGAAGACTCGGGAGGGAAGCGAGGGAATGAAAAAAGGGAGGCGAGATATGGCGCGTCTATCTTATTACGCATGCACCCCCCGTCCGTTTGGCGAAGGAGGACGCGTTCGCTGACTGACCCGACTAACTGACTGACGTCGTATTTTGATATATCGTACGCGAACATTGACGTTTAATGAAACGCGTAACGAGGGTGCGATGGACAATCTTATTATTATAAAAAGACAAAGCGTTTGTTTCTATATTACATAAAAGATCTGAAAAACGACTTAAGAATAGGAAATAAAAAATAACTATAGAAAAATGAATAATTCCAATACATTGAAACATTAGAAATTATCAATATTTAAAAATTAATTTCAGGACTTTATCCAAATCATCCACTAAGGGGGTGGAAATGTGTAAAATATATATTTACGAAATCTTCAATATCTTCAAAATTCCATTACTCAATTATTTATCTTTAGTATTTGTTCATTAACCCCTTAACGCACAGTTTTTTTCTCGAGTGTGCACAGTTTGGCCTGTTTAGTGCGCTCGAATTAACTCGAGCGTACAAGTTAAGGGGTTAAATATTTTTATCTCTTGCTATTTTATTTTTTTTTAATTTCTGATTTTATTTACTATAAGTAACGCGAGCGAAGACGCGATGGGGGATGCTAGTATTTGATAAAACTTCTCATCTCGATGCTTCGATTTTTCAAGACCAATTGGCTGAGTATATTTATTGTCAGTCTACATGTATACATAGTGTACAATGTACTCATACACGAAATTAGGCATGACACTCGTGAAACGGTTTCGTACTAACAGAATGACAGAAAAAAGGATCGCATTATCTCGAGGCAGTACCTACTCGTTAGCGGTTTTGAGAGACGTTTAGAAAATCACGCGTTGAAAGGGTATCGAACCGGTTCGCGAAATTGACGTAGTTCCGAACGTATACTTATCGTACAGAAAGAAGCGTAGGACAAAGGAACACAACGCGGAGGTAGACGACAGACAACGACCGAGAAGAATCGCGTGTCAACGTTTAACGGTGAGGAAACGGTGCCTCGTTTAGATCGCTCTAAACGTATCCTAAACGCGTTTGAAAAGGAGACAGAGAAGCCGTGCCCGCGGGAATTCGTGGCTATTGTGTCGGTTCGTCGCGTTTCATCAGCGACTATTACGTCGGCCGGTTATGCTCGTGACGCGAAACCACGGGTTCTAGGGTAACATTTGGCGGACGTGGACATCGCTCTCGGAACCCGGCCTCTTTAGGAGACAATGGACGTCGACGTGGAAGGCCGGTAGTTGCACGCCGAGCTGCATCGAACCGCAAACGCTATTCAATTCGTTGAAAGTGCTCGGGATCTGCCTAATCGGCGCGTGAAGCGGCTCGCGTGCCTCTTATAATCGGTTGTCATCTAAATTGCCTCGATTCCGCAACAACGTTATACGACCGCGCCCGCCACATCAAGGTTCATTTATGCTATCGACGAGCCGTGAACAAACCGGCCAGAACGAAGATACAGCTACTTAAAACGATTCCCGATCCACTCGGCACGCATACACTAATTGAATTTTTATTATGCATTACCAACTTTCATTATAGTGACTAAATATCTCAAAGTACAACGATATTATAAATTTTTAAAGAGTACATTTATATTTGTGCGATCTCTAGCTTTGATTTCAATCGTGGTTCATCAAAATCTGTGCACTGGAATTTGAAATACAGAAACAAGTTCCAGAAAAATTCAAAGACTGATGAACTGCAAAGTACTAAGCTTTTATGATTAAGATTTTAATTCGAATTTTAGTTAGGATTCATTTGTATTGCAAACAAGTTTAAGTATTGTTACACGAATTATTTTACATATCCCAACTTACGTCATTTTGTCACTGCATTCGCCAGGATTTAAAATTTGAAACTTAGGGCAGTATTCGTAGTCGTTATTTATTTTTAAGATCAATTTGTAATAAAATAATCCAATTTATTAACTGAATTATACAAAAACCTATTTTAAATCCTCACTCTTGAATTAAATATCTTGAACTTTGAACTAAAGATGGTATTCATAGTTGTTATTTATTTTTAAGGTCTCAGTACAAGAAACTTCAAGACTGAGGATTTAAAATAGGTCTTTGTATATTTCGGTAAATAAATTGGATTATTTTATTACTAACTGTCAACAACGAGTAGAAGAGAGACAATATTAATATTTATAATAATTTCATTATTGCAGGAAATCGTTTCGGGTAGCATCGCAGATTTCCTCGATATTCGACCTCTTGCTGCCATCTAGAAATGCATCCCGTAACCGCGATACTTCTTTTTAGGGGATGCAAAAGTTGCCGCGTACTCTTCACTCGGTAGCCAATCTTTTTCTCTATTTATTAAAAAATATAGTTTCACACGTTTCTTATAAAATAATTAATAAACTCGTAGAAACATATATC